TCCTATTACAAGCAAACTAGACAATTCGATAAAAAACGAAGCCTACTCTAGACCTTATAAAATCTAAAAACGGCTCCAATAGCGTCGACAAAAAAAGGGAGAAAGCCATTTGTGTATCTTAACACTGTTTTTAGCACTATATTTTATAATTAAATTTTCTCATACTCTCAGTTTCTTTCTGAACCACCCCCATTTATCAGTTGATTATCCACTCATACCTTGTTTACACTTATTTTCTTTCACTTATTAGGATGCTCCTGCTTACTAAATACTTTAATAAATGCGAATCAGACTGATTAGTCATGCCCTAGCTATTTCTTCATGAACATTGACTACTCTGCTTCTCGTCCTTTTTTGCTTTCTTTTTTCTTGCACCATTTTTCAGCACCCTTGAGATACGGAACGGATGAGCTCGTCCTGCATCATCCTTAAAGCCTCAAATATTCCAAAGGGATATAAGACTGCGATTTCTAGAAGCCCTCAACTGCACATGAATCTGTTATCGACCATCAGCTGCACGTCGCAACGCAACTTTCATGAAGCGCGCCAACTGTGATATTGACTAAAACCATTCTACATTCATATATTATAAATTATCGACCCAGCTGAGTAATTTACAACAGATGGAAATTGTATTATTTGTAACGATTTGATCTTGCCTGTAAACTGGCATGCCTCATGTAACACACTGTTATTTGAGAATAAATTATTATTATTATATATTAAGATGAATGAAAATAAAATAGACCTTGAACGTTTGAAATGTTACACTTTGCTTTTCAGTCAATCAGATAGATGACGGACCTTGTTTTTATAAATCATTATTAAGCATATTGATACTCAATAGGTGACACAATTCACTTTTGGAAAGGAAATCATGAAGGAGACTTCTGAACCGGGTTGTAGTTTCACTGCGACGGAGGTTCACTGGCAGTCTGTCCCACATGGTTGAGTAGCGAATAACAAAAATATTCTGGCGTAAGTTTGTGTGGGTTCTTGGAGTTGCCAGAATATTTTCCTTATTGCACACATTGTGGTATGATATCATAGAGTATGAATGGGTGGATACCGAAGAGCAGGAAATACCATTAAAAAGCTGATAGATAAGGACAAGGTTTAATTTGATGCGTCTGATCCAGAGAGGTTCTAATTTGGGTTGTTGACATCTTTGGTGATAGTCTTTGTTGTCGGAATAGCCAAAACAGCTTTGCTGAACCTTCTTTGAACACCTTCAGTTTTAACCAGGTCATTATGCCTGCAAATCCTGTAATCTAAAGTACCATATTCGAGAATGGGTAGAATACATTTTCTGTATAATAATAATAATCGCGATTCGATATTATTGAAGTTTATCATTATGAATCCGATGAGCTTTCTAGCCTTGAATACTTGAGATGCAATGTGCTCGAAAAAGACCAAACTGTTGCTATATCTTAAGTCCAAGTCACGAACAGTGTTGAGAGGTTTCAGTGTATGTTTGGGTATAGCCAGATTTAGGTTAACGCAGCAGCCAAAGTGAATAAATCCACTTTTGTCAACATTCAGTGAGAACTTTCGTGAAACAGTCTATTCGTACAAATTGTTTATTTCTTCTTGAATTACCGCTTAAATATAGCTTTCTTTGGTGGGGAAAGAGAATGAATAAAGCAATTTTAGGTAATCGGCAAAAAGGAAAGGTTTACCACAATGAAAGAGGGAACACACGTCATTGATAAAAAAGAGAAGGGGTAATGGACCAACCACACTTCCTTGTATAGCCCCACTAGTTACATTCATAGGTTGAGAGTAACAAGATCCAAAGCGAACGATTTGGCTACATTCTTTTAAAAAAGATTTGAGCCAAGACAAAAGGGGATTCTGTATGCTAAATGAAGAGAGTTTTGTAAGAAGATTGTTTGAGACATTGTCGAAAGCCTGACTAAAATCGAAGTACAGAATTATCAGTGGCTGACCAACACCTCTCCTCTGGGTAGTTTGAAAAAATACTATGATATGCCATGACCACGTCAATTTTAGTAAATATGTTCATAACCTGTAAACCGTTTGTGAAATATTGGATATGTGGTATTGGGTACCCATCTGTTACGGTTTGACGGTTGAGGGATCTGTAATCCCCGCACTGTGGCCAATCGCCTTTATTTTTCTTCGGGACCATATACAAAGGGAATGCTTATTGACTATCAGAAGGGCGGATAATACATAGCTGTAGCATTTAGTCGAATTAAGCTCCAGACATTTGAAACTTATCTGGTGTTAGTCTTTTGAGTTTAGCAAATACAGGTGAGCTTGCGATTTTGATCGTATGACTTACTTTTAGTTTGCTGCTGGAAGGCCTTGAATTTCGCGATTGTTACTGGCGGAGTTCGTATCAAATAAAGAGATGTGACTTTATTTACCTTTGTGTAATTCGAAGTTTATTTCAGTGTTAAGCGTCATTTTTTAGTGTTGACTAGAAACTCATATATCTTTAGAACGTCCATCCTCAGTACTGCCAGATCTAAATCGTCTACGGTGAAAACCCAGGGGAATCGCCTCTTCCGCACAAATATCGCGATTTCGGCTTTACTGGCGGCTTGAGGTGTAACTGGGGGTGTTTCTCGACCCAGCTCAGTTTTATTTTGAGGAATGACACTAAGGGAAGCCTTAGTATCTACCAAGACGTTCAAACCTGATTTTTGTCTCCAACATAAAACAAGCGAATGTTTAGGTGCCCCTCCTCAATTGTTCCGAACTAGAAAGGGTTTGCTCGTTTCCCATATTCTTGGGATTCTGTTTAGGCCAAAAACATGATTCCCTGGACTTGATTAAATTGACAACAAACTTCCAGCGATACCAACAGGACTGCCCAGATTGTGTGAACATTTGTGACCTGTTTTGTGACTTGGATTTCGGTTGTTGTGGTGACTTGCTCCTGTTTCTATGACCCATTTACATCCTGGTGACAGTCTCAGCGAGACTTATGACACTCATAATGAATCCTTCTATGACTGGGTCTTCTGATGGTTCTTCTTTTAGTGTGTGTTTTATCTTGCATGACTCCAGCTCGAGTCATTTACAAAAAGACACTCCGACTTCCAGGAGAATTTGTGGATCTGTAGTGGCATTGGGCCCTAACACGAGACGATATGGAGAATAAACATTCAACATTTAACACTGGGAAATACCTAACGACAAGGAAGGCGGGAACAATAAATTAAGTGAATTCGAGTTGATCGGATGGCATGGCTCCCTGCTGAATGACCTTATATTCATTTTAAATATATTTTCCTATCTCTATGCTAAGTTTGTTCTCCATCATGTATTGGTAATTGTTACGATGCAGTGAGTTGGTGTAGATGATGATGTGACTTCCACGTATGATCTTATAGATTAGGCAGTTATATCATGATAAATCTACAATTTCAGGATTAGGTCTATTATTGAAGCGGTACTAATATCAAAGTAGACCATAATTCAACAGATCCTTTATTTTCTTCAAGTAATATGGATCTAAACTCTTATACGAGCAGGCTTACATACTCAATGAGTTTAGTCAAACTTGTTTTCACTCGACCGCAATCAAGTGTTGTTTTCCTTCAACCTGTCCTACGATTTAATGTACACGTCTTTATACGTCGCGACTTACTTCGATGACCATTTGAAGCGTCATACAAAGGATCTTTCAAAGTCCTTCAAAGTGAACTTAAGTACTGTATCATCGACAAAAACGGAACTAAAGATGGCATCAGTACTGATGGACTCAAAGCAGAGTAACTAGAAGTAAACCATATTCACGTTGATTTTCCTTCGATTCGATCGAAAGACACGAATCTAATAATTAGGATACTTCACCCGATAATCAACAATCACGATAATACTTCGTTGATATCCGACAACTAATCAAAAACGGCGCGCTTTGGAAAAGGAGTAGGGATTCCAGAACGTCTAAATAATTACTGAACGAATGACAATACATAATATTTCGTTTTGCCTCGATCTTTTGTATTATTATGTTCAAAAAACGAAAACTGTTTTCAATAAGCTCATATATATAGTTTTTTATTTAAAAAATCCAAAACAAAAATTTTGTTGTTATTAATATGCTCCCTTGTATGTGTATAATTTCATTTTTCAGATGAAAAACACGCAAAAAATCACTTTGCAAACATCATTTTTACGCTATTGCATACTTACGAAACGCATGTACATAAGTTTATTTTCTTTTTATGCACGCACTACATCACTAGGAGGGTAGTGATTAATCCCCAAAATCAATAGTTCTGCAAGTCTTCGACATTTGATTCCGACCACATGAGTTTTAATGTCCTCACCTAGCTGAAGGGCTTGCACCAGATCACCAGTGGGTATGCCACGCCTCACTTCTCCTACAACCACTTGCCAGATTAGATTGATCACTTCTCGATATATCGATATTCTGTCAAATATATCCTCGAACCCCTTCGCTTCTGTCTTTTGACTTCACATGGTTGGCACATGTTGATTATAAAACGTGTTATTGGTTAAGGTATTGTCAAACTCCGAATACCCGTTGCATCTTTACCACTAATAACGTAGCTGATTTTTGTGGCAACACAACGCTGTTGTCCGTAACACGTTTCTAATCAAGAATCTCAATAACAGTCGAACAATAAGTCAGGAATACAGGTGTTCAAATATATATCTGCAGGATGGTCAGTGTGTTGAGAAACAGGTAAATTAAGCAAACTGTTTGTTGCGAAGAATGCGTAACACGGCATGCTCAACAGTGATCAGATGCGGATGCTTGACCGAGTGCCTAGATCTGTGGTGCGTCCAGTAAAACTAATGAGGTCAGCATTAATTATGACGACTTACAGAATTATTTATTTTGGAGATTTATTTGCCACTTCATGTCTTTCCTAAAGTCAAATTGATCATACATACATCCAAATGAGCCACGCAAAGGCAAACTGAAATAAAGTTCACCTTAGGATTTTGGCGAATTCGATTGGCAAAGTTATATTTTCATGACGTTTTAATCCACCAACTCTATGATCTACCGCTTGACCTAGTTCCGCATTATTTGAACTTCGGGAGACATGACTAAGTCTAGTGATGGTAAAAAGGTTTCGAGTCAGTTGGTGAGTTAATCCCATGACACCCAGTAATTTGCTAAGCTTTCTGTTGCTTTTGTCAAAGTACTTCGTCACAATTTTCTAAAGTACAGGATTTGCATTCATAAGCCAAAAGCTAGAGACTCGGTTAACCATGAAGCTTTAAATGCTGTTTACGTCCAAAATACAGATTTGTTGTGTTATGTGGTCAAATTACCAGTTATTTTCAAAAGACAATTCGATTTCAACGTCGAATTTTAACCAAATTCATGCGTCGGTCGATCGCCATCTGACATTTAATCCAATAATTATTGGATTAACTACTCCGAAACATTTATTCTGTGAAGTTACCCAATGTTCTGTTGTAAGATATCCGAATATCCTTCTTTAATGTGTATTTCTAAGAAACCCGTGTAATTACTAGTTTTGTAAAGCATACAGAAGCCATCCGGATTTCATGTATTATTCACCAATTCGGTGGATGACGTATTAGTATCAGATTGACAAATACGATCTGTATTTTTTGTCCTCAATGATTTGTGGTCAACGTTTACTGAAGTAAACGCTATTGGAAGGTATTCTGTGAACACGAATGTTTTTCATTTTGCCATACTTAACAATAGCTTTGCGACATACGGTCAGCACTTAGCCGTAGATAACAACTTCAATATTAATAGAGCTAATGGTAGAGCGACATAAAAATTAGAAGAAACGGACGAAAGGTGAGGAGTTTGGAATAGTGCCGTGTTCATTACTTTGGTAAGGATAAAAAGTTCATTCTCCACTGCAAATTTGTCTCCAACTCTCAGTTGTGGTGGTCTCGTGGACACCTAGATTACCTGATAAAAAGGACAGTAACTTCATTGTCTTCTTGTCACCACCCTCTTGTTAACTCAGTTCTAATCAGTTCATTAATGCAAAAGGCAGATCGACACGAGGAACATCTAATTATCTCGGTTTATAAAAGTTCATAAACCAACCGACCACTTTATTTACTGCTAGTGGTTTAGCAACGTTTATCACTGTGGTTTCATTATATAGGCTAACACCGACTAAAATCTTGTTGTAAATGGATTCTTGATTCTGTTTTTCACTGACAGGCAGCATGTTTCTTTCACTGTAGACGTAACTTAGTAATTATCTGGCCTTAAGTTTCGTAGGTTCGAGCTGAAGACTTTCCATCACTTAGTTTAATAGATTTTTAATCCTTCGTCTTCTCAACACTTTATTTTTGACTTTTGTATCTCCTTCAATTATTTTGGTACTTAAGTTTTTCGCAACCAAGTTTATTTAATTTTTGGTTGAGACTATCATTTATAGATAAATCAATCGCTTTTAAGATAGCAGGGCGTGGATTTTGACGCGAAATTCACTCATCCATTTGGTTGAATACCATTTTGGCATTATAGCTGATGTCAGTTCGTGACCCTAACATTTAATTGTAAAGCCTAATCCTAATTCCTCGCACCAATATATAACCCTCATTTGACCACGGTGAGTAGGTGGACATTCCAAGGTCATTTTAGCGTTGCTCAAAGGTCGTCCACAAATTATAGTTTTATCAATTTTTGTCTGCTGAAATTCACTTTGTTGCATCCGATTTTAACATAAAACGTCAAGACATACGTTTCCCACCATATCTTCATTATGGCTCATTCGCATTCGCCGTTAAATAACTAGCTTGAAGGACTTTCACGCATAAATGTTCGCTTGAAATATGCTTTGTCTAACCAGGGTAGTCATGTTTAGATTGACTATGCTTGTCATATATTGGTCCATCTAGGGCTTTATACGTGTGCTAATTTATGTTGCTGGGTCATATTCTAAGCATTTTAATGAAAATAATATCTATAAATGACTGAAGTCTAATTCTTGGTTACGCGACACAACTTTGGATTGTTGTTTAGGAAATCTGACTTCAGATCACTCATACTGAATCCTGAGACAATCTAATTAGGGGTTGTGTCAAAAAAGGTAACATTTTATTTGTGCTCAGACGTTCTGTAGTTATCACACATCAATTAAATTATAGATGTCTTTGTACTTAGTTATACTGTAAATTAATAAGTGGAGATGGTGTCGGATAAAATTGACATTATGAAGTTCAGGGGTGTTTGTCGACATATTGATAGTTTTTCTATCGGTGCGATATAATGGCTGTTGCGTCTATTCGATTTTTAAATTTTTGCCGTAGTAATTTTTTGTAATGAGATGTGAATTTTCGGTGGATCAATTGGGAAGTGGGAATTTTTAAGGTTGCTAAACTTTTCGATTCACATCAAATATTCTGGTAACACTACTGTCCATTTGTTTCTTTACAGAATGAAACGGAGCAGAACTTCTTACGTGCAGCTCGCGCTGGAGATATGTCAAAAGTTGTAGAACTTTTGAACGCTGGTGTACACATCAATTTATCCAACTCGGTAAGTATATAGATTTAATACTGATAACGGTAGTCAAATCTGCATAAAATTAAAATTTGGATGGAATTGGTTAGTCCTTTTCTACGTTAATGAAATCAAATTAGACTAAGCATTTAACTTCTAGATTAAAATATTGGCTCATTTAAGATAGGTTTAGTTGCTGTAAACTACTTACTGTATGCTATTTGTTTATGCAACCAATATCGAAAAAAATGTAAGTTTTATCACTAGCTAAGGCAAAATTACAACTTGTTCTAACACTTCGGTTTCATGTATTGGGTTTAGGGTCCTCACCGCTTTACACGTAACTTGGTTTATTATATATTGTGCATAATACCCCTCGTGTAGCATAGGCTGTCGACTAGGATTCTCCAACCTACCTTGTCCCCTAATCTCCTTTCCAGTTGTTGTCAAGTGCTGTTCGTTCTTCACATGCCTACCTTCAATTCCCGACACATTGTGTTCTTCGGTCTGTCACATTTCCTTTGGCCTTCATAACTCGAAGTTATGGCTCGTCTCATGATGTAATTTGTTGATTTTCTCAATTTATGTCCTACCCACCTCTAGCGTCTTACCTTAGTTTCCTCTTCAACTGAAGGTTGGGTAGTTGTCTGTCACAGTAGTTTGTTGCTGATGATATCCGACCAACGGATCTGGAGTGTCCTGCATGGACATCTGTTTATAAATGCTTGTACTTTTTTGATAATGGTGGACAACTTTCCCTGGTTCTAATAGCAATGTAATTTCTCTGTAACTCACACTAAGACCTTTGATTCGTATCTATCCCGGTCTGTTGATATATGTTCTTGTTCCCAAATATTTTTGAAGAGAGCGTGGAGCATCCTTGCATTTGTTTGTATATCTGATTTAAGTGCTTCAGCTGATATGTTGTCTAATCCTGCTGATTTTCCTCTCTTGATTTGTCTGATGGGTATGCTGATTTCTTGGATTGTTGGTGGGATAACATCTACAGTAAGGTCTTTGTGTGTTATTTCGATGTCCAAGGGGTTTAGTGGAGCCGACCTACTCAAGAGTTCTTTGAAGTGCTCTAGCCACCTGTTCCACTGCTATTGGATCTCAGTGACTAGCTTGGTTCATCTATTCTTGCCTGGTTACTCTCTTTTACTAAATTTCCTAGGTAGTTTTTTCGTTGTATTGTAAAGTTGTTTCATATTTCCTTTTCTTGCAGCTTTTTCCGCTTTCATTGTTAGGTCTTCCACGTACTTCTGCGTGCAAGTTCTTATGCTCCTCAACAGGGTTGAATTGATTGAGTTTATCAGTATCTGGAGGGAAAGATGTATTAGACATTTGTAATGCTGTTTGTGCAGTCGTTCAACACTTTTTAAGTTCCAGTTTTAGCTTGGTCACCACCGTGCGGTGATCTGAAGCTATGTCAGTTTCTTTCCTTTTTCCTATGTCCTCAATGCGGGAATATGATGTCATCTATATTCAATTTGTCGAAGGTACATAGACTTGCAATTCTCTCACCATTCTCATTCCTTTCTCCAAGCACATATCGTCCCATGATATCTTCATACCCGATCGTGTCCATCCCGACCTTGGCGTTTAGGTCTTCCATCAGGATGGCCAGGTTATATCCTGGACACTTTTGTACAATCGACTTCAGCCTCTTGTAAAGCTGGTTTTAGTAATCTCCATTGCTTTCACTGGTGGGTGCATCACACTGGATAACGTTTTGTGGGACACTTTGTTGATCCTGGACTCATGAGATTCCTATCTTATAAGTGCTTATCGTGCTTCTTTAGAGGGTATTAGTGCAACTTCTTGTGTGTGCGAAGCCTCATCCCCTTCATGACCAGAGGACAATAGAACCTCTCTCAAAGCTAATCTTTTCTGTCCAGCTTCCGTTTAATGACCTTCACGTACCAACAATTTGTATTTTCTTTCATTTCTTCAGCTACTTGAATGGTCCTATCGGTCTACCTGATTGTGCGGACCTTCTATGTACCTATGTTAATTGTTCCTTTGGTTGTTAGGAAAGGCATCGACTCCATGGTTTTTGAAGAATCTCGGCTTTCACATTAGGGCGTCATAACAACTGTCAGGACAAAGCTTGGGTGGTTTCAAGGATTTTTATTTAATTAGCATCTTCTTAGCAAGATTGCTTTCTATAGGATGGGTTTGCTAACCCCGTGTCCAACCCCCCTCCCTTATCCGGGTTCTGGACCGTCAATAACCCTAGAAGGGCTCCAAGTGGAATATATTGATTTGGTTTGCTCATGTATTTATATGTATTTTTGACTTTTTAGTTTTAGTAGTTGGTTACTGAGTGACTTTACTGCTGATTTTATTATTATATCCACCATACAAGAAACATTATGTTACTCATAGGGAGTGTTTTCAGTCCTCTTAACGATTGATACATAGCTTAGATTTACATCACGCTATGATGGAATCCATTTTCGGCCCAACCACAGCTACCTTAAGTAAACTACTGGCTGGTAGTTTGCTAGTCGTTTGATTAGCTGAACAAAGTTAATGTTTACTGCGGGTCCCACTTATAACTATATATTTACAATCTGTCTAAACTACCAGTTACAATGTTCGTGAGCATATGCGTTAAATTCAGTAGCGAACGTGTACCAAGCACAAGTTTATGTACTTGTCTGTCGGCCGCACATTTCAATGAAAACTATTGATACTAGTACTCATGCCCAAATGGAATTCGTTGGAACGAACCTTTAAGCTGTGTACTGAAATCATCAATCCTTTTATCTTACCTCTTTACATTCATTTTGAGTTGATGAATTTTGTTACTGAATATCTTCTCTAATAAAATTGAAACATCTGCAGAAGCTAAAAAGATTGTAATTTAACGTATTCAGTACTTAAATTTTAGAATGGTGAGGATTTTTTAAAAATCAGTGACTAAATACACTGAAACATCAAAACTATCAAAAGCTTAAGTATGTGTGGTTACTGTTTGCGTGGTTCACTGTCCTCTCCAATCATTCAATCTAATTTTAGCCTTTTTACATTGCTAATTATACTGCGCTTTTTTGCTTAATATATTTCAGATTGGACTTACTGCACTTCATTTAGCCTCAAAAGAAGGTCATGTTCATGTTGTCGATGAGCTACTTCGACGTGGAGCAGATTTCGATGCTCCTACTAAGAAAGGAAATACAGCACTTCATGTCGCAAGTTTAGCTGGTCATTTCGAAGTTGTCAAGCTGCTTTTGGATGCTGGTGCTAATATAAATCGTCAGTCAGTTGTAAGTTTTAACGAAAATGATTAATTAATTCATTAACTAATTAGCGAGTAAAGTGAGAAACTAGTTATCATCATACTTTATCATGAAAGTGAACAATAAAATGATTTGTCGAATTAATCGATTTCTCAGGAACTCATTTTTCATCGAAGAGGGCTATTGACAGAAAGTAACTTAATTGTAGCTAATCAACGCCAGTTTAGTTATGTTGTGAAATTTGTCAGTTAGGTTCACCACCAACTATTTTTAATATTGATGCACTTTAGAATCTATGGTTTAGCTTAGAATATAGTCTTTTATTACATTGTTCAATCTAAACTATTTTTTTCATGAATGAACTTGTTTATTATCCAAGTAATTATTCACCAGTTACAAAATATGTTTTATGCATGTATCAAAGATGGTTACCTAAGTGTATTTTCGTTTTTTTGTACTGATCTGACAGAGTGTCGACTTCTGATTACCACTTTATGGACTCATGGATAACTTTTTTCATATGCTTCATAATTCCTTTGTTCAGTTCAGAAGTAATTAACGTTATACGCTTCTGAATACTGAATCAGTGTAGAATTTTACTTTCACTAATTACTGTTTATTCATAAATGATAAAACTGATTAATGTTAGTTTCTGCAGGTAGCTTCTTGTTGTCAATGTTTCTAGAAATCATAAATTTTCCAGCTCGGTTGCGTAAACACATGTTTCAATTCATTTGTAATGGTTTTGAAGACCTCTCTCGTAGACTACCTAAATACAAAATGTCAACCAACAAAGAATTTGCGTAGGTTATGGTTTAAAAAACAAATATAAGCATAACTCTTGACTTACGTTTATTTATACAGGGTGGTCGCTTAGTGTTTAGAACACTCGTGTTTAAATAGATCCCCTCACTTCCTACTTTGGTGCTCGGACAATATTACTTTCCATCTGATATGTGGCTCAAAGTCAGATACGCGAAGTTTTATGCGCATATATCAGTACATTTTTATTTACACATACATTGTTATACGTTACAACTCGCCATAAAAACCGGTTGCATAGTTACTCTTATATTACTGAAATGGAATGTCAGTTTGACGAAATATATTTATTCATGATATTTGTATTTGAACACAAGATTCTATCTGTATATCAGATACTATTTAGGAGTTACTCATTCTAACTCTGAGTGTTGTTGGTCAGGTTGGTCGCCATTAGTTGACTGAATAATAGTTCTTGATGAAAACTCCTTTCAAACTGTAAAAAACATTAGTAAGCAATAATTGTGTGGCCAGTAGTGACTATTTTTGCGAAGGATTTCTCGAAGTTCTGTTGAGAAGCCATGATTTATGAGATCAGTCAAGTGTGATGCAACAGCTATTCTCTGATGACTTTGTTATACGCTGTTGTATCACAAGTTGATTTTAGTCAAAGATTGGGTTTATCCAATTTTTACTTAATAGCTTAATGGTTTTGTGCTCACTGGTAACCTGAGTTTTCTGATTTGAATTCTTTATCAGATCGTGAATGCGTGCGCACGCATTATCCAGAAGTCATAAACGCCAATGAAATAGCTGTCTGGTGCTTTGTACTTTTCAGTAGATCTTTCCGTCTGCTGTCAGTTGATTGTAGCAACCAACTTCAAGTTGTACAGAATCTACATAAAACCCCCATTATTAAGTGTTCATGAATTTGTTTATTTCTTTTTCAAATGTTGAATTGTAGATTGGATATACCCCATTGTATATGGCTGCTCAAGAAAATCATCTTAATGTAGTTGATCTTCTACTTCAACGTGGTGCAAACCAAGCATTAACTACTGAAGTAAATCTTTGTTTTCTAAAATGATTTTTCACTGCTAAAAGAGCTTTTAATTATTTCTTTGTGTTATAGAAATATGGAAATTTTTGTTTACTGGGATAATAGAATTTCCTTTTATATTATTGTGAAAGTATTGCATGTAATTTAATTAGTTTGTGCTAAAGAATCTGGTTATATTTGAATCATTATTATTATTGTTGCAATGCGAAACTGTGGATCGGTAGCTTCTAAAGTTGTATCTAAACCATTGGTTTGATAGATCTAATTATCCTTCCATCTAATGGTTTGCTGTTGGTTTGAATTCCATTGCACCCACTTGGGCTTTGGCAGGCATGTAACATTACTAATTAATCACCATACTAACAGTTTAACTTGAAGCTAAATAAACCTGTACTTAATAAATGAGTTAGATTAGTTTAACTTATTGGATCCAAAATCTGTTTCATTCATTTTCATTTCAGCAGCTGGAAAGTATGTCTCGTCTTAGCGTTTGCTAATCGATGCACATTGTCGTCATATATTTATAACCTCTATGTTACAATGTAGTTCAAAATCAAATAATAGATTGTTGGCTTTGTCATGTTGCTTGGTCTTTCTTTTAGAATCATGTGTAATTTCCAACCTCAACGTCAATGACAATGAACCAGACTACTTCTCATCCTTTATTCTACGCGTTAACTAGAGATAAAACGAGGAAAAGTGAGACGCTAGATTATTAATTATTTAATAAGAAAGATTAGTTCAGCGAAGAGTTCTCTTTTCGGCGAATTCATTTTCAAAGTTGTACAATCGCAAATATATATACTTGTTTTTACAGGATGATAATAATACTGATAATAAACTTCAGTTAAACATGGTGAAAGTGGGGTTAAATAAACAAAAGTATTAAAAATCTTATAAAACAAGCAAAGTTTGATAATCGTTTGATTGTTAATGGCTTAAAAATTTATCAAAACATAGATAGGGAAATTATCATTGGGGCAGGATGGCTCAGCATGATAAGATAAAATGTTGAAATTGAGATTAAATGTAATCGGAAGAGGGAGAAAAGCGCATGCCCGAATGTTTGGGATGCGCTTTTCTCCCTCTAAATGCAAGTTGTTGCTTCAGGACTGGTCTGCATCAACACCTGAACTAAGGATAGGGGGTGAAGTAGTCGAACGCGTTGACAACTTCACTTATCTTGGAAGTCTGATCAGCCCTAATGGGTTGGTGTCTGACGAAATCTCAGCACGGATTCGAAAAGCTCGTTTGGCCTTTGCCAACTTACGTCATCTATGGCGAAGGCGAGATATCCGTCTATCAATTAAGGGACGAGTATACTGCGCGGCAGTTCGTTCCGTCCTTCTATACGGCTGCGAAACATGGCCTTTAAGAGTGGAAGATATTCGTAAGTTACTAGTATTTGACCACAGGTGCCTTAAAAATATTGCGGGTATCTGCTGGGATCACCGGGTAAGTAATAGTGAGGTTAGACGCAGGGTATTAGGGAATGATGGTAAATCAGTTGATGAGGTTATGAATCTTCATCGACTGAGATGGTTGGGCCACGTGTTGCGTATGCCTGAACACCGACTACCACGACGCGCAATGCTGACTAGTGCAGGGGATAATTGGAAGAAAGTTAGGGGCGGCCAAACCAAAACGTGGCATCAGTGCTTGAAGTCACTAACTTCTGGTCTGAGTCATGTTGGGAGATTCAGACTGCCTGGTTGGGGTCCGCGTGACTATCGTAACCAATGGTTGGAGACTCTTGGTGACATGGCTCAGAATCTATCACAATGGCGTCGGTGTATACACTCTCTGTCTTCCTTAAATTAAGAGATTAAAATCGCTTCATATCTGTCTAGGAACTAATTCTTTCTTCCTTTACTATCTCCTTATACACAATCTTTCTTCTATATATTACCACCACTGAATTAACTACTCCTATGAATCCGGTGTTCATCTTGTGCTAATGCGGTATGGCAACTTGGGCCGATGCATATACGTGCCTGGTCCTACGTTGCAGCTGACTGACTGACTGTAATCGGAATGATCATGAAAATAAAAACAAACCCGTTGGGGGTAGGAGATTTAAGGGGAAGGTGAAGCAGATGGCTGTAAAGGAACAAGAGAAAAAATTTTTAATACATTAAGACCAAGGTAGAAGAAGAGGTTGTATCAGTCTCTTTTGCACGCATAATTCTGGTTTTTCCAGGTGTATGGTTATTGCTTCGACAATGCAAAGGAGATGCAGTCTAATTGCCTAGGGGAGACTTCTACTTACCTTGTAGATGTCTTTGAACGCAGAGTCTGTCCTGATTGAGTGACCTGTGTTCACAAGGTGTTCGATTATAGAACTTCTTATTGAGCCATTGCCTCCTCTTCTTAGCCACGCTGGACAATGTTCTTGAATTCTTTTGCATAAAGTACGCATCGAACGACCTATATATCTAGCTCCACAAGAGCAGGTAAATTGATAAATTTACATTGAGTTGGTCAGATGCGATAATTTATCTTTCAGATTATTGGTGAACAATGATCGGCTGGAGAATAATATTCGCAATGTTGATGCAACAAATGTTCTTTTTAAGGAATCAGAAATTCTCCTCTTTAAGATATATGTGGCTCTATCACCTTTGAAGTCGATGTTCATGCATAGAGTTTTCTTTTCTACTGTAATTATTTGCGTTTTTGGTGTTCTCGGCCTTATGTTCTTATCAATGAATATCGAAGGATATCCGTTTTTGATAAGTATCTCCTTTAAAAGGCCCAATTCTTCATCTACGACTTCGGGGCTACAGATTCTTCGTATTCTTGTAGCGAGTGTTATTATCAAGTTTCTTTTTCGGCTGATGGGAACCCAACTGTGGAAACTTGATAGTTGGCCATTCCACATTGGTTTCCTGTAGATAGATCTTTTTAAGGTACCGTCTTGCTTTCTTGTCATTTCCACATCAAGAAAGTGAATATTTTGTTTGTTTTCAACTTCAAGTGTGAATGTTATTGATGGGTGACAATTATTAAATGTCTTTAGGAGATGATTTAAGTCACATTTATTGTCACAAACGATAAAGATATCATCCACGTACCTTTTATACAAGTGGAGGTTTTCTATAATTGTTTTGAGTTGGATGTTTTCTAAACTGGCCATGAAGCAATCTGCCAGTAATGGACCAAGTGGGGATCCCATTGCTATACCATCTTTCTGTTTATAAATTACGTCGTTGAATGTGAACTGTACATTGCAAGTGCAACGTAGTAATAGTTCCTTTAAATAAGCACCCGGCATGCCAATGTTTATCTCATTATTATTTATGTACTTGCAGATAAAATTAATGGTCTCTGTGAGTGGAACATTAGTGAATAGTGATTCGACATCCAAAGATAGCATAATTTTGTCACTTACATTCACTTCTTTTATGTGCTCGATAAATTCAAAAGTATCACGTACGGAATGTTTACAAATGCGTTTTCTAACGGGTTCTAGGATATTTGTCAGACACTTTGCTATAGAGTAGTAAGGGGATCCTGACATATCAAGAATCGGTGTAAGAGGTAAGTCAGGTTTGTGTATTTTTGGCAGACCGTATAATCGTGGTATGAACATCGACTTCAAAGGTGATAGAGCCACATATATCTTAAAGAGGAGAATTTCTGATTCCTTAAAAAGAACATTTGTTGCATCAACATTGCGAATATTATTCTCCAGCCGATCATTGTTCACCAATAATCTGAAAGATAAATTATCGCATCTGACCAACTCAATGTAAATTTATCAATTTACCTGCTCTTGTGGAGCTAGATATATAGGTCGTTCGATGCGTACTTTATGCAAAAGAATTCAAGAACATTGTCCAGCGTGGCTAAGAAGAGGAGGCAATGGCTCAATAAGAAGTTCTATAATCGAACACCTTGGGAACACATCAGTATTATTATCATCTTGTAAAAACAAGTATATATATTTGCGATCGTACAACTTTGAAAATGAATTCGCCGAAAAGAGAACTCTTCGCTAAACTAATCCTTCTTATTTAATGTCTTAATAGATGTATTCCATTTATAAATTACTTGGTTACACTCATTTATACACATATTTAATCGTCATTATTCAATGTTTATCACATTGAACAAACTTCACTCAATTAATGTTAATGAATGTCATAATAAGTTAAAAAATTACTGAATTAATTCAATAGTCGAATGTGGATCACGCTGAATTAATGTGGAATTCAACTGAGTGACGATTACATTTAAATAAAACATAAACCTACACTTGTTCACCTCTTAACTTTTGAAATATTGATTATCTACCAAATGGTCTACATACTTTTCATCTTAAGTTCTCGTCTTTTCCTCACACACTTCTGAACATTCCCACGATTATCTCAGATTTCCAGTAGTGTTATAAAAAACTGATTCAATTATAACTTACATTAAGAGTGCAGTGAGTTGAAGTATAAGAGAAGAAAAGTATAATCCCTGTTTATTATTACTGCTGTGATTAATATTCATACCTTTTCCCATTAATTTGAACTGTAGTTCGTTTGTTCAATGGTACTTTGTTCTCACCATTTATTAGGAAAAGGCCGAATAAAGTAAGCGGCGTTTCGGCAGATAAATAATATCAGTTTCATTTTACCTAATTTTTAATATTTTTGTTGTCATGAGATCAACCAAAAGTCAATATCCACTGATGAAATATGCCATGATTCCTTTTTTTCCCTTTCGTAAAGAAAATGCCTACTATATATGATCATATAAGAATGTTCATGTGTTAAATACTACTGATTTAAAGTCAGTTACTTCAAAGGTATATAAGCTAGTGTAGAATTTATTGCTTATATGTAAATATAAATTTTAAGGAAAATGTTAGCTGGAATTCTCTGTCGCGCATTGGTTAAATTGATTATTACTATTATTGTTATTACTTCCAAATGACTTTCAAATCAATCATTTCTTCCACATTTTTCTTGAACAGTTATGCATTTTTTCGTTTTATCTTATACCTTGATTTAAACGAAAAAACCGTCCCTAACACTCCTATTCATTATTATCTTGCACATATGTTTTTTATCTGCATTATTTTGATTTTCATAGGTTGATATTTGACCTGTTGTTTGATGTACGGAAACACCCCTTCAATTTTATTAGACTAGAATATTATTAGTGATGATGATAGTAACCAGTGTAATTCAACACTAACAATTTTTCTTCTAGTAAAGAATTATCACTAATTTTCGTAATATTGCAACAGTTCTTTGTCATATCATAAGGACCACTGACCAATATCTCGTTCCAAGTCACCAATCAGACTCTTATCCCAATTTTCCCATTTCCTCTATAACCTATTACACACGTGAGCAGTACTATTGACCTTAAGCGAATGCAACTAAGTTCCCATCGGTTCGTTATTCGCACGCTCTTTATGCCCTACCTTAAGTCCAGGAGTAGCAACCAGTTTCAACTATATCTATATTTCAAACGGATGTGGTTTATATGCTGGCATATCGGACCGCACCATATTATGAAATCAAAAATAACAACTACACATAAACAAGCCTAAGTGGTTGTGAATAGGGGGAAAACTGTGAGAGGCTTACGAGAAGCTAGGAATAGTAATTCGTATGACAGTAGTTTATGAGTAAACCGAAACCTTAAGATAGACGGAGTACATAGATATAATAATTTAGTTACCTAATAATTATGTAATAAGATTACACATAAAAATAATCCGTAAATCAGTTTTAGAGGTTACCATTCCTTCAATCTTCGTTCTGATATAACAGTTTCTGTTTAGCCTATATTCCCATTGCAATTATTTGGAAGTACCATTAAGAAAGCTTTTTAATTGTTATTATCTGCCACTATCTTAAATCATGAGCTACCAATAAATTTTTCTACCTACCATATATAAGATGCCTGAACCACAATATATTCGTCTCTTATTTTTACACAGGATAGATAGTGAAGAAAAAATTTCCACAAATGCAGGGTTTATGTTTTGTGATATTTAATGTCGCATAAAATTGTAGGCCTTTTATAACAGCGCGTTAGTACATATTTATTATTTGTAATTACTAAGCTTAAAGAAATCTGAAACATGAAGATAGATTGCAATTTTTTCGCAGTTGGAAATAGGCACATCAAATCTTTAAGAAGGCCTTGAAAGGGCACACCAATTACAGGGAGACATGGTTTTTACAACCAGGCTTTGATACAACTAGTTGCATTTCGATCAGAGTCACAGGTTCGAACTTGCTACCATCTACTTCAGTTTAAGCAGTCACGTAGCATTTGTAGCCCCTCACATAATGCCGTTCAGTGCCAAATACATAAATAAATACTTGGCTAGTGAATTATATTAAAGCAACTAATTAGAAAAAAGGTGAGCGCGGCGATGGGTTACTAAAACAGCATAAGTGAATATTCCACTCTGTTTGAAATTAAAGATGACTCGTTCACTAAGTTCCCTTATCAGTCACTACTATGTTTTAATAACTGAGATCGATTGTATTGTTGTTCGTTATCATTTTTTTCTACAGGATGGTTTCACTCCTTTAGCAGTAGCCTTACAACAAGGACATGATCGTGTTGTGGCACATCTTCTAGAAAGAGATTCACGTAGTCGAGGTGGCATGCCAGCTCTACATATTGCAGCTCGAAAAGATGATGCAAATGCTGTGAGTTTGTTATTGAACAATGCAGAAGTTAATGTGAATCATCAATCTCAAGTGAGTTTTACTGTTTTCTTTTCAGAATTTTATTACAAATGCATGTACAAGAGTTGGAAGGGCTTGGTTTCTAATAATCCTGGTTTTGATACTGTTAAGATGCAACCTGTAGTAAATGAGATACATGTATCTTACATTTTATAACTTCCCCATAAATCCTAATAAGTATTCGAGTACATGTAGTGAATAACTCTTCCCGAACTCCTCCGACTTTATTGATTATGTGGTGACTAGTGGCCAACTTAATAATAGAACCAGAAAGTTCTCCTGATAAGCTATGTCATGTGGAGTTTAACAATGTAATGTGTGATGCAGCTACTCACTGATGATTATCATGCTACATCGTGAATCGAACTTCAAAAATATTATAGGCCTTCTGCTTTCGACTCAGTACTCTAAAGTCATCACGTTAGCCACGAGGATTTGCGACCTTGAGTTTAATCACTGGTCTGGCTGGAGGCCGGACTATTGATAAGTCCCAAATTAGGACTTAACGACTATTCGGCACATCATAGTCTTTGACGTAAACTATTTTTATGTTGTCTTGCACACTTATCAAATAGTCTAATGTAAACAACACAGTTTTCTGTCCATTTAAAGAAATTAACTTAAATTGAAAAAGGAATTTCTTCACTATTGTGTTTTTTTTGCTAAATATGTAAATCCAATGGTAATTTAACGCAAATGAAATAATTTCTTACATGTATTATTGGCTTACAATAATAAACTCAGTTTCAGGGACTGCCAGCTGATTAAACTAGCTACCATTTTTCTGTGTCTGTAATTATCTAGACAATGTATGCACAATTCCATTTTACTACATTTTAACAGATGGATTTTTAATGATACGAAATTATTTATGTAAACAGTTCTGTTGTCCAGTATCGATTGATATTCTTACTGTGTAATAATTATTAAAAAGTATCTTCTATGTGTAAAAACTCTTTCTGACCAAGTTCGCGTGTAAAATTCATTCTGTTTGTATATTTCACTTTTAATGTAACACTATACAATCGATAACATTGATAATAACTACATCAAAAAATAAAGCCATAACTTAATGGGTATAAATCACTAGATGGAAAATTAAAATCCGACTATGTCTACTTTCACTCTAGACAATAACATTATTCACACACGGAACGTATGACTCAAAGCTGGTTACACATTATATTACATTGAAATTTATATGAGGAATTCCGGTGAATTATCGTTAATGTGATTATTATTATTTGTCCCTATCTACTATAAAATTGTTTGATTTGGGAGTCACATTTATGATACATTTTTAATTGTATTGATATTACTTTTAATTTCTGACTTTCTTTTGCAAAGGGATTATTTTACTTTTTGGATTTACGTTTGGTGTTATTACATAATCGATTACTAATGTTTTTGTTCAATTTGGTGGTGTATTAAAGAATTTGATTCCATTTCATGACGCGTAGTATTTTAAAGGAATTTTTGGATTGACATACTGGCTGATGCATAATCAACTCTCAGGTTTAATCTCCGTTTCTGTCTAATTTACTTTAGGTGAACCGAGATAGTGTATCTATTGACCTGACAGGAATTTCGTGACTTAAAGCTGAGTAAATAAACTTATACTCTTGGCTATTAAGTTAAATTAAATCTGATTTTTCTCAAGTTGGTTGGTGGCTAGGTATGGAATATCGAAAATGCTTTTCGTCCGATTCAGGACTCGTCAGCTTGATGCACCTATGTCCCGGTGTGTGGCATCAATAACATTAAAATATCAAGTTGTATCAAATTAAATAGATGATAGAGCAGGAACCAGTGATATGGTTGAAATTGGTCGCTGTGTTAAATTTATCATTTCTAGTATCAATCACCTTTTCTGGAGGATTTTCCTCTCATTGCTTCCTTCTATTCTTAAGATTTTTTAGGTTACGCACTTCACAATGCTTTCCCAAACTGTGAAAAGTGTAAATGACATACATATTATTAGTACATAAGGATTTCCGTTTCAGTTAATCATGGTCAATCACCTGATACCTCAACTATGTCAGAAAAATTTTTATTCTTCCTTACTACCTCTTGTTATATTGTCTTTATTATTTCTCTCAATATTATAAGATATAGTTTCGTTTGTAATAGGTTCAACATTACATTAAAATCGTATCAAGCAACTAGTTTATACGAGTAAAGATGGTCTACACCTCCATATTTAGATTTTAATTGAGGGAGTCAGTTACGTATTGAACAATTGTTTTATTTCAGTTTCTTTTTCTCAACAGAACTATTACTTGTAACTGCAAAGACATTAACGTTATGAAGATAGGTTTTTTTATGATTTGATGATCGGGTTTTCGGTTGGTAAATGAATGAATCCAATGATAAGACCGATTGATAAAATGCAATAATACCATATAACAGAATGATAACTGTTCAGGCGATCGAATCATTGACATAAAGCTCCCAATTGAACTGATATGAGATAACAAAGTGACCGTCCAATAAAATAGGTTTTGTCGTGTAAAAAATTAACACGCTAATATGAAAAAGGTTAATGGATATAAAGGTTAACTGATTCAAAGTCATTTTACAGATCGGTAGTGGGAGGATACATATCATTCACTTTGAAATAGAATTAATGCTTTACTTCTTCATACCAGGTACTGATTCATTAGATTAGTTTCTAATAATTCACACTTCTATCTTATTCATTATATTATAAAATGGATATTTGTTATTAGTATTAAAATAATTATGAGGGAAGTATGGCACACGTCAAAATTAATAATGAAAACAGTAAGTATATTAATAGTAAATGGTAGTTTGACAATTCCATGTTAGAATTTCACTATATTCAGAGAAATTATCACTAAAGCTCAGAAATTGTAACTCGAAGTTAGAATACATAAACCTGAACTTGCACATTGTGTTACATCAAATTTACTAGTAAAGTGTAAAGTCAAAATTACACAGTATAAATTATCTAATTAAGCCTCGTAGAGGAATGTTAAAAATGGATTTTTAAAAGAAAAACAAATGTGACTTCATAAAGTCCTCTCTCTGACTAATATTTTAATACCATTTTTAGTTTATGATTTGACTGAAGACAACCTATCAGAAACAACAAAAACATACTCGTTTTATTGATTGACCAGTTAATAGTAACCAGTCACAATTGATTGATCACTAGGTGGTGATGAATGTCATGCGTGTCTAGTCCTTATTAGTGCAGATCGAATACTATCGACCATGTTGCCACCACTATAAGTGACTCGACACTGCGGACACTATTGTGAGATTAGATGGTGGTTGGAGGTAGTTGACAGGAAACTCTGTTTTCGTGCTACTTGGCACTCGTCAGCAAGGTGTACCTGTAATCTTAAGGGAACTGGTTTCCTGTCGACTACCTCCAACCACCATCTAATAGTAACCAGTGTCATGTATGTAGTGCTGATCAAGTTGCAGTTTGACTACTAGTCTTAGTGATTCGATGTTAAGTTTTCGAGGATAGTCACCTGGACCTCCTAAACATATATGCGTGTGGCGCATGTATATTTGGTGCCCTCTTGTACCAATATTTGTGTTCAAATAAATAAATAAACATAGATGTGTTAGTTGTTATTGTGTAACGTTGGTTCGAACACCGAGCAAAAGATTCGTTCCATTATAATTGCATGTACGCTTTGTCGATGAATCTCGACCGACAATAAACTTGGCTTTGGAGTTTATTACCAAACTGCAATCTTGAATAATTTCTTCAAACACTTTGAACGTGCTGGAGTAGGACTAAGTTAACAGAAAGTTAGGCAGAGCCAAAACACGTCAATAGTTCATGTAGTTTTTGACCGTTGATCTGAACCGTTCAAACTATCTAGTTTTAGTGATGTTTGTGAGACAACCATAATCAATTACTAAAGACCTTAAGTAATGCGGTTCCAAATCAGTCTGTGGCACAATTTCACTTGTATATTATCTTTAAAACTATTCTACATATTTAATTTATTTTTATTATTACTAGTACCATATTATTTTATTTTTCTTTGCCATTGGTCTTGGTAATATATTATAGCAATTGAAGCGGTAGTTAACTTGTACCCGATTTTACAATGACTAGGTTTTAGAAAAGCATTCACTTTTATACGATTTTCTCCGGTGATAAATTTGACTAAACTGAGAACAGGAAATGCAGCAGAATAAAATGATTTCATTTGCTTAGTATGGTTTCTTTTCAGTTACTTACAACCTAGAAACAATAATAATAATTATGCACATTGTCTGTTCTTTAGATAATTTTGATGAAGTTGAAAGAATTGTAAAGTGAATAAATATTTATATTTCCGTATGTGGGAATCCCGGAAGAGATACTTTTAGACATAGAGACACGTTTCTAGAGAATGAAAATTGATGTCGGATTTACGTGATAACATCCGTAACATGGGATAGATTATAAGCGTAAGGTTGTGGTGGTATGAGTGATGAGATCAATGCACGTATAGTGAAAGCCAGAGCGGCTTATGCCAATCTGGGCCATCTTTAGCGCCTTCGTGATGTTGGTCTGGCTGTAAAAGGTCGGATCTACAACACGTCGGTGAGAGCAGTTCTGCTCTGTGCTTGTGAAACCTGGACTCTCCGAGTTGAGGATGTTAGACGTCTCCCTGTGTTCGATCATCGCTGTCTCCGAAGGATTGCTGACATCCAGTGGCAACACCATGTTAGTAATGCAGAGGTTCGACATCATGTGTTCGGGCACAGAGGCGATAATGCAATTGGTGTCACCATCTTGAAACACCGACTTCGGTGGCTTGGACATGTTCTACGAATGTCGTCCCAGAGAATTCCACGTCGAGCACTATTTACCGACCCTGGGACTGGTTGGGAAAAGCGGAGAGGTGTTCAGTGTATGACATGGTGTCGTGGTATAAAAGAAAGCTGCAAAGGGCTGGCTTCTGTTGATCCTTCACGACTCCCTGGTTGGGGTCCTAGGGATAGTGCAACACAGTGGCTAGAATCGTTATCAGATATGGCTCAGAATAGAAGCCAGTAGCGATCCTGCTGTAACCTTCTTTTACTTTCTTCATAAAAAGTGGCTGTATCCTCCTCAAATGTAAGATTTCTTCTGAGTGTACCTTTTCGTCTCCCCCATTATTGTTCTTTTTTTAAATTTTATAATCCCCTACGTTCCTTAATTTTTTCCCTTCTTAAATTCTCATTGTTTTATGTGGCGCATATATATTTGTTGCCCCCCTGTACCAATATTTATGTGTTCAAATAAATAAATAATAAATGAAAGGTGATTAAAATTTAAAAAAGATACGAGGATAAAAGGAATAAATTTATTATGGAATCTAAAATAAGTTATCAGGTAATCGAATGATGAAAAGTAACAATTTTTATTCAGTTCTTAATAGAATTTCATGAACTGTAGTCATTTGGTCAAGTTTACTGTCAATCCTGCACACTTTCTATATTCCCTAAGTTCTTAATAGGACAAAATGGTCATTTTTAACGGTTTCATTTTTCCATATTTGTCTTCCATATATCTTCTATTATTTTCCTATTTAGATTTCTTGATTATCAGCATGTTATTTCTATTTGGAGTTATTGGTTTAACGACATTCACGGTTATTCACTTGAAACTGGTTTAATATTCTCACAAACATACAATTTTTATGTGGTATTCGTCGTTAAATGACTTTAGATTACCATTGAAAAAACCGAGGGGCATACTTTTAGAGAGTCCTACTCAATGACGAAACCTCTATTCAGTGCTTCTGTAGCGAATATAACTAACAAACTAAACAAGATCTCATAAAATCAACCCGTAATCGAACTTTCAGCTTGTTGTTCGGGTCTTAATTTATCACATGTATATGCGATTGTAATATTGAAGTTCTTGTACGGATTTCATTTTCCAAACTAATTGTTCTATGACCTAATGGGTGTATTCGACTTAATAGAAAGCTTTTATGACTATTGTTCAGTGAAACCTGATGTTGTATTTACCTACGATTATCACCATATGTTTGGGTTTTTTCTTTTAAAAAAAGATGACCTATGTTTATAAAGTCGTCTAAGGTCACATAATTTTTGTTTATTTTAACTTTTGGCCTATGCTCGATAATTCTGTGCATGACCTTAATAAAGTATGTGACCTTTGGATTTTATAGGGTATTTACCTGGTCCCAACAAATACATATAGATTTAGTTCACTGATAAAGTTTTTGTAATCTTGCTGTAACGGGAGAAAATTGTATGAATTATTTACACCCACTGTCGATTGCCCAAGTTGACATAAGTAGATAATGATTAACCACGAAAACTGGATTGCTATAACCGAACTCCCTAGTGAATGGACACAAAAATGACAATTGATTGTGGAAAGTTTTTAGTGAACACAAATTATTGTAGGTCTAAAGTTTATCAGGTAATTCACCGACCAATGGAAACTGAAACTTATCTATCTGGAGCTCAGTTGCTATCTATCATTTCATAATTTTTAAAGAAATCGTTCATGTTTTTTATATGAATATCACTTATTTATATTTAATGTAATTTAGAATAACTGATAATTGTTGGTTTGTTAAACGAACCACTTACTAGCGGATTTTGTTTTTATCACTTAAATCATAGTTTTCGATAGTCACATCATTTCTGTTTTATTTCGAACTATGATAAATGTTTTTTTAAATTTCAAGTCGAGAAATCCAGTCAGTTATTTATGCTTTAACATTGTATCTTGTCACTGAAGTATCATTTTTGTATGTACCTAATCTTTGTGGGAAATAGTGTTTCTAAATTTAGTACCTTAATTGGAAAAAATGCCATTGCTTCCGATCGTAGATCTCATGTAACTTGGTTTTCAGTTCCCAATAAATGCTTTCGTTCATTCCATATAAAATCAACAAAGCATAACAAACTAAAGAAGTTTTACTATTTTACTGCTATCTATGTGATAATGATCAATTAAGCTTTTGTGGTAATTTCATAATGTGTTAATCAAGTGAAATGTTTTTGTTATCCTTGTAGACTGAAATTGTATTGATAATAATTTTGACTAATAAATGTGTTACTAAAGCCCATAATCTATTCATTACATTGATTCTTAAGTTGAAATACTGACTTTTCGGTTTCGTTAAAATGTAGCAACATTAATGTTTTGTATGATTCTCTAGTTGTGTTGAATTATTCCCTTGTTTAGCACCTTATTGAGGCATTTGTTTCAGTTCACATGATTTATTTCAAATCCGAACTGTTTCCTTTCTTCAGACAGTGTTTGTAACGAATTGTTCACTTCTTTGCCAACACATGTATTATATTGTTGAGAACAGTACTATATTTTGATATTATAGCGAAATAAATCATCTTTATCTTGGAATTATTTTTTTCTACCCTCTTCAAGCCTGGTTTCACTGCACTACATACTGCTGCTCATTATGGTAACGTGACTGTAGCACGTGTACTTATTGAACGTGGGGCAGATGTAAACTTTCAAGCCAAGGTAGAGTATTGTTTTTATATTCATTTCTACAAATCGGTGTTGGTAATAATTTAAACATTTATAATATAATATCCTGATGTTTTAATTTGTCATTACTGCTGACTAACCTTTCGTAAAATTTGTTTCCGTTTAAGATTATTAACTCTTCTCAATTTATTCATTGTTTTGTACATGATATTTCATTTCATTAAAAAAAAATCCTACTTTTAGATTTGTTTATTGTTTGTTAGTGTTGTGAGATAATGTTTTCTTAGTTAACTACACACAGCAAGACACGTACAGTAATGATGAAAATACATTTGTTCAGACGTCATCTATCTTGTTTCTCCCCCTCTCCCTGCATATAATTCATTTCAAATTTTACCGATGTGTACAAATTATTTTTTAGTTTTCTTTGCTTCAACAATAGAAAAAGAAAGTCTTAACGTTACGCATACAACGTTATTCATTAGTGATTTTTACACTTATAATAATATGTCCACTGTTAATGGAGCCCTACTGACTGCCTTTTTGCGGTGAGGGTTTTGTTTACGAAATGGCGACGACAAAAAGGAAATGTTCGGCGCTTAAACTGAGTTGGTGGACGTGGAGAATCCACCTAGAGGAGTTGGAAAACCCTGATTCCAAACTAATGGTGCACATGAGCTCCGGGATCCTGATGGAACAAATGGCGTATGAACCTACCATTGGTCACCAGCCACAATGGAACTGCCGTCACTCAATCAGTCAGATACAACGTAGGACCAAACACATATCTGCATCGGTCCAAGTTGCCATACCTCATTATCACAACAAGATGAACACCGGATTCATAAAAGTAGTTAATTCAATGGTGTTAATATATAAAAGAAAGATTGCATATAAGGATATAGTAGAGGAAGAAAGAATTATTTCGTAGAAGGAAAGATATGAAGCAATTTTAATCTCATAATTTGATAGAAGACAGAGAGTGTATACACATTACGCCAGTGTGATCGATTGTGAGACATGCCACCCACAGTCTCCAACCATTGGTTACGATAGTCTCACGGATTACAACCAAGTAGACTTCATCTACCAACATCGTTCAGACCAGAAGTTTGTGACTTCAATGACTGATGCGACGTTTCCGTTTGGTCGCCCCTAACTTACTTCCAACCACCACCAACACTGATCTGCATTGCGCGCCGTGGTGATCGGTGTTCAGGCATACGTAACACGTAACCCAACCATTTCAGTTGATGAAGATGCACAACCTCATCAACTGATTTACCATCATTCCCTAATGCCCTGTGTCAGATACTAGTAACTCACGAGTATCTACTCTTACTGGCCACGTTTCGCAGCTGTAAATTAGAACAGGACGAACATAGAACTGCCTCTTCTAACGTTGCTTCACTGCCTTGTGGATCAGACCTCTATGTCAAAGGCTCGATGTATGGCCCCTAAGAAAACCACTTGCATCAGTTTTTGTGCCTGAATATTATCTCATCTCTCACACATATCTAATGGTCGTGTGGCACCTATATATTTGATGCCTCATTATACCAATGTTTGTGTTTATATAAATAAATGAAAACCTACATTTTCGGATCCAATCACCGCACCAACTCAACTCAATCTTAACGTATCATTGAATTATGGTCCTCATCCACACCAGATGTTTACGGATATAACTAGGTTCAGATGCAACTTTTTTTTGTTTCAATGTCAAGATGATTTTCATTGTAAAGAAACATTAATGGAATAGAAACTGTTTTGAACTCGGTTTCCTTTGTGCTTGCCTGCAACTGTATTTTGGATTTTTTTCTAACACCGATCATACGTGATACTTATATTTTTCCACTGATGATGTGATACGATGCCTAAAAATTAGGCCTAAAAACAATCAATTCTCAGTTGATTGGGAAGTGAGTGAACTACATGTTGATTGCCTCCAATCGCCTATGATATTTGATCATGTTTATTTTATATTTTTTAAATGTTTAAAAATTCCCACATTGTCAATTAAAGCAACGTGTATAAACGGACAATATTGTTTTCTATTTGACCCTTATCAGTCTTTGCAATATCATTTGTATGGATATGCAAAATTATTAAACCAATCAAGGCAGTTTATGAGTCAGTGGAATAGATTACATAAATAAAAAGTACAAATCGGAAGTGTGATGTCATTGTACTATTTGTGATAAGAATAATAAAGACTTGAATCAATGCTTCGTAGTGGGAAATAGACCAATAACTGACACTGAAATAGCACTCATTAAAAATTGTAAGATTGCGTTATAAGAAGTGCTCAGCTAATTGGACAGTGAGTCGTATGTTTGAAAAAAGGGGATTGAAGGAAAATAAACGAACAAAGAGTATGGAATAATGATTGTAAATGAAATCTTTTATCAAGGCTAATTTGACCAAGGAAGTGATAAAGGTGTTACAGATTTCTTGTAAATACAATGACTTGTTGTTAATGTTGTGGTGATCCAGAAAATTTTCTCGCAAAAGACAAGCAAGGATCAGGAAACACCAAGAAGCATTTCACCCAATCAGCGTTCACTTGAAGTTTTAGCCAGAAACATCAAGGAAGTGAAACGTCACATGCAGAGGTTCTGATTGGCTGATTGTTATACTGCTACCATGTTTAGTAGCATTCCAGAATCTTCAAGCAACCCAAGGACATTTAAAATATTATAAAAACCTTATATTTCCTGTATTAAAATGAACCTTGGAGTTAGGTACCTTTCACATACTTTGCGCCTTCTCTCTCGTGTTCAGGTCGCTGTATAGTTCTAACTTGGGGGGTCAAGAATAGCTTAGGAACTGAGTATAGCGTTCAAATTGCAAGACTTACCAGTTAGCTTGAATTCATATAGCTTCTGCTATATGTAAGAGAGGAGGTCCTTCTATTCTTCTATAGCCCCTTGATTATTACGTAACCTCATTTGATACAAAGGTATGATATAGTGGACGAAATCCACATTAAATCAATACATAATCTCACATAGTGTTTATTCCTCCCTAATAATTTAATACTCGATAGCCGTGCAGTGAATTGACTGGCTTCGGAAATATGATCTGATAGGCGGTCTGTCGTGAAAATATAATATGTTCTCCACTGGTTTCGAAAGTCTCGTTTTCAATTTCTGATACTGTTATCTCAGCTTTGACTTGATGATTCCATTCCACTTTTGTAATGATGTGGTTTGGCAACTTAGTCCAATACATGTCTTTGTGCACCTTTCTGCGTATAACTGATCAATAAAATGAAAACATGACAAGAATTTTTTGCCTAATAAATAAAATCTTAAATCAATTCCAGATAGTTTGTGGCTTGTAACTAGGTGATACATATGTTGAAATTCTCTCCATAAGTTTAATCAATGATCGAATAAAATCGTAGTGATTAATTGTCATGCTTATCAAGTCGATAGACTAGCTAAAATTAGATTTGATTAATTTAGATATTTTGACTATTCATTTTTACGAAAGCATTCTGATTATCAAATTTTCTTTAGCTGGTGTTGGTGTTCTGGTAATATCACTCAGTCATTTACTAAGTAAAGTTTCGTATCGAACTAATGGTGATATTACTTACAGATTACGGATCATTGTTGAACCATCAGTTGAATGGAACTCGTCATCATACATTTGACAGCGTAGGTAGAAGGACCTTATGAAATCCTCTTCGACACTATAGTAAACCTGAGAAGATCGCCACCATCATGCGAAATTCTTACGACGGACTACACTGTAAAGTCGTGCACGGAGGACAGATTTCAGATGCATTTCTATTAAGGGTCAGTGTCAAACAAGGCTGTTAAAACTCATATTTTCACTCCTCGTGGTTAACTGGATTATGAAGACCTCGACATCTAAGATGAAGGATGGAATACAATGGACAGCTTGGATGCAACTAGATGATTTGGACTTCACTGATGACCTAGCTCCTTTATCTCTTACGCGGCAACCAAAGCAAGTGAACACAGTGGGTGTAGCAACAGCCTCTTCAGGAGTAGGTCTTAACATTCACAAGGGAAAAGCAAGATGACGAAATACAACAGTGAGCATCAACTAAAGCACAACTGATGGAGAAGCTGTGGAAGATGTATAAACTTTCGAGTACCTTATCAGCATCATCGACAAACAAGAGAATCTGACGCAGTTTTTAATTCAAGTATCGAAGATTAGAGAGCAAAGTTGGTTGGAGAAACCTGGTCGGCGGCTTTTGCTAATCAACGAGGGGTAATAGGTGTATGTGAATGTGAAGTGATTTATAGTACTTAAACTGGAGTTTGGATCCGTTACCTAGTGTTGAGTCTAGAGTAACGTATCCTCTGGGGTATAAGTGTAGAAAAGCATTTGCTTGGTTTGTCTGTACGTGGACGCTATAAAAAATACACTTCCTTTTACCATGTGTTTGTATTCAGTTTAAAATCTTTTGCAGTAAATATGAAAACCTAAAATTGTGATAACTGGTCTTTTGGAAAGTCTTTTTCTCGCCTTCAAACTCTTCGTCGTTTTTTTTATGTCTTTGTTATTGATAGAATAATATCACACCATTACATGTCGCTGCTAAGTGGGGTCGTGGTGGAATGGTCCAACTACTTTTGAATTCGAATGCCTTAGTCGATTGTCGTACACGTGATGGTTTAACACCATTACATTGTGCTGCTAGATCTGGTCATGCAGAATTAGCTTCACTGTTGATGGGTGCTGGTGCAAATCCGTCAGCTAAAACAAGGGTATGTTATCATTATCTCTGTAAACCTTTGGTGTGAAACCAGTCGTCGTTGAACTATTTATGTCGGCCATCTGTGTTCGCCTTTACTGGTGACAGCAACATGGAATCTCCCAACCATTTTATTTCGGCCTATCCGTAATATATATTAAGTATTAATTCTACAGAAGAGTTGGTGATTTGACTCAGCCTACGTTATTTTATTGGTCATTGCTGTGACATGATCAATTGATTCAGAAGATTATTTCATTATAATGTCTGGAAGGGCCACTTCTAATCTCCAATGTCTTCAATCACTGCATTACGTTGAAGATTAGTTAAAAGGAATTACTGATTGATCATGACTCAATTACTAGCGTCTGTAAACCGAAATTACTTTTTTGCTTGTGTTATGTTATGTGATAGGCATTCTGTCAAATTAAATCTTATTTGCTGTGAATTATTCGCATCTGTAGAAACTGTGGTGTGACTAAAACCTATGGATGACCTTAGGGTGGCGCGAAAGTGATCATGAGAATGTCCACCTATTAAATAGGACTAAATGAGGGTTATAAACCAATGTGAGGGATCAGGAATAGGATTGACGGTTGATGGTTAGGGTTTTCATCAAGAGCTGACAGCTAAAATGCCAAAACTTTTTAGTCAAATAGATGAATCGATTTCGCACCAAAATCCAAATCTGTTATCGTATAGTTCGTCCATAAATTATAGTCTCGCCGGAATTATTAGTAATTTACTTACATTTTGCATTATATTCTTGCTTATCTCTGTATAGTGTATATTTTGACTCTTAGTACAAGTAGTAGTAGTAATAGTAGCAATGTGTGGTAGTGTTTTTAATGAACAAAATCTCCAAAGGAAATAGTGCTAAAAATTTTTATTAACACTTTTCACAGCTGTGTGTTGTTTCTTAACCACCGGAACGCATCGTCGACACTGCCTGTTATAATCTGTCGAAGATACTATGTTGTTGACATTAACACTGAATGCCTCATTTCAAATACAAAATAAATTAGCCATTTGAAACTTCAAACTCAGTAAATGTTGTGTACATGTGAGGATTAATTTTCATTAGATGTTTTATTGCACCATAGAATGGGTTCATTAGTGATTTGTAATGATCCTTGTTCATCCATATAACAGTCATGATTTATATTATTGGGAAAGTCAATTGTAGGATCAACTTCGGTGAATATTGATTCAATGGATCAGCGATTTTAACAGATTCCATAATTGTGAAGCAGACTCAAACTTTGGTCTTTCTTTTTTACTTTCGGCAACTTCATGTTGTGGCATTAATGCTATACGTATCCAATGATGGATCAAGGTTTATTGTTTGCATAAAATTTCTCAAAAAGTGTGAATTCAATGTTAAATGGCGGCTGATTGTATCTTGTATCAAGGAATAGGATCCGTATGCTATTTTATCAACACGTTAAACTTGATTTTTCTCCGTCAATCTTCGTGAACAGATATTGGCTTTTATTTGGAGCAGTTATCTTGAATTGTTTCAGTTTTTACTTTGTAACCTTGAAAAAAATTCAGCTAGTGATTTTTGCAATTATGTTTTCGGTTCAAATCGACTTCCCGATCATTATATAAGTGGATTTTACGTATTATCTATAATTTTCACATTAATCTCAGGCTGTCACTGAATCTAACAAAGTCAGTTTGACAGTGTTACATACTTTGCTTAAGTATTGATCATACTGTGGATTCTTATCTCATATAATACAATTAACAATTTCCATGAAATTGTCAGATCAAATCTCTTGACTTACTTTGTTGTAAATCACCTGGGTTGTTTATTTATCTGTGTAAACATTCCATTATTATTATTATTATTATTATTATTATTATTATTATTATTATCATTATTATTATTATTATTATTATTATTATTATTATTATTATTTCATCTACTAGAGTGGATTAACTCCATTGCATATGGCAGCACAAGGTAATAATGAAGAAGTTGCTCGTGTATTGATTCTACGTGGTGCTAGTGTAGCTGATAGAACAGGAGTAAGTTATTGTTGTTGTTACTGTTTTTGTTATTCTCCTATATAATTAGAATGTTTATTACATCACTAATAACAAGAATGTTAATTATATTTATTGTTCAACATGTTGCCTTTACAAACTATTTATTATGTAAAGCAAGTTAGAAATTTTCATTGGAAACTGCAAATGAATGCTAAAAAGAAATGTTCTGGAGTGTTTTTAACCAAGTTATCAATTAAGTGTTTTTGTTAGATTTTTGACTTCATTGAAAAGTTAATGCAATATTTTTGTCTCACACTGTTAAATATATCTTTTTGATGCAATGAATTTAAACAATTTTTGTTTATGAGGATATTTTAGAAAAATTAGCGTTTTACGTTCAATCGATTTCTTTCTTTGGATCGGTAATAGGTTAGAGCGCAATTAGTGATTATGTCAAGATGTTTATTTAAAATTTTTTTTTAAAGCTCGTTTGCCAGATGTAGTTTCGTGCATTTGATTTCTAGATACACTTTATTTGTGAAGGCTAGTGATACAACCTGATCGCTCAATTTTAAGTAAATGGGACTCGGTTCGAACGTGTAACCAAACGGTTGACGGTTAAACGCCCTAACTACTAAGTCATGAGACTATTATTTTTAAAAAACGACACATACGCACGTTTTAGTTTACACAAGTGTGTTTTCCAAAGGATGTAATGTCGGCTGCTATGTTAATCCCAAACAGCTTATTCTAGCTTCCGGACAAGCCAATTTATTCATTCTTCTTTAGTTACATTTTGAACTTGCTAATTATCCACCTGTCACCCTAGACTGTTTCTATATAAGTTTATGTATCTCACTCATTACATGTCTTTAACTTATTTTTATGTGACTACAAATATCGATTCACTCTCGGTTACATCGAGTTGGCTCACATGCCATCTCTACCGCGTGTCATTTTGCTTCGTCGATCGTTTGTCTGGATCAACGATTGTATGAAATGCACGTATTCGAAATTCATTCTCGTACTTGACTTTATTAATTTCGTTATATACTAACGCGAGTTAAGTCGATGATTATATACGAGAATAGTCAGGATGTATATATCGACAGCGATTATTTGATTGCAATCAGAAACGATCCAAATGGAGTCAGATATATTGTCACTAAAGTGCTGATCCCGTCGACAACATCGCTCCATCTAATTGGTATCAAAATAACGGGCCATTACAAGGATGTGCCTATTATGTAGTGGTAATGTTTTATTGATCACCTTTGTATGCATAATAACTCAATGCCAGTTTTATTGTTGCCAAAATGTAGATGTCAATTTTGAGTAATTCCTGTGTAACTTCTCAATGAATCTTTAAATTTTGTTGCTTCGGTATTGTTTTTAAAAAAAATTATCACTCATATTGTCAACTAAATGGCTGCATCTAGTACATTATTACTAGTTTTCATATGAAATCAAACCCATTGGTTTGCGGGTAGTATACTTTTCAGATTTCACGGTTTGACCGTATTTTTGGCGTGGTCTTCACTAACTTTCTTACAACCTAGTCCAATATCAACAAACACTATTTATCAATGTAGGGAGTGGATTGGTATACGCAACGCATGTCTTAACTACGTCGGTTTATGAAGTTACACAACTTCATTAGCTGGTTCGCCAGTTTACTCTACATTGATTGTCTATTTGGAACCGCTGCTTGACGTTTTTCGTCACTATCACTGCATCATTTTGATTTCTTGTAAAACTAATAAATGCTGAATTTATTTCATACTTAACATCGTAACCCCACGGATTATTAAACTCAGGATCTTTAGGCTTCTCAATGAGTACTTGACCATTAAGTCAAATCCAATGGTTTGGATGTTTCTCTTCAACTCATGATAGTAAACAACTCTCTTTCAACGTCATAAGTCATGCCTGTAGATTACAGTATGATTTTTTTGTAATGATATAGGTTTGTAGCTTGATTGATGTGCTTTCAACGGTTATGTATTGTGTGAGCTAAATGGTTCATTTGCTGAATTTTTCATTTTCATTTTGTGTTACATCATCAGTACATAATTCAGATCACTAAAGCTGGTGAAATATTACTTATTTTTGCTTTCAAAATGTTATAATTTCTCTTTTGCAATGAATAAATTCGACGGTAAATGGTTAGGGAAATTCCAATCAGTAAGTCACATACAACATAAACTTCACTATTTATCCATCCGTTTAAGTTATTTACACCACATCAGCACAGTGAAATGAAATTGTTAAGACAAATTTACCATACCCAATCAGTGATCTCAGAATGCTGGAGCGATGCTCGAGGATATCTTTGGTCAAATACTGGTAGGACAGAAATATTATCTACTCTTGATAACCATGTTTCACGCCCATAAAGTGGGATGGAGCGAACTGCTGTGGAATAAACTCGTCCTTCGGTTAGCATACGTACGTCTGCCTCACGCCACTGATGATGCAAGCTGGCGAAGGGCAACTTAGATTTATGAATCCGTGCTGAGATTTCACCAGACATCAACCCATCAATGCTAATGAGGCTTCCGAAACAAATAAAGTGGTTGACCCATTCACTTGGTTCACTCTCTATCGTTAATTCAGGCTTTGACTCAAATCAGTCCGAAAGCAGCATTTTGCATTTAAATGGAAAGAATATCATCTTAAACATCTTGGATCGGGACTTAGGTCTGTTGAACTCTTTGGTGCCTTCACATAACAGGACTATGTTATATACGTATTCTTATTCAGTAAGTGAATCTTCTAGTAGGAAATCAGCCCTTGCAAAGTTAAACGAAATAACCGTTAATTCCAAAGGAGTTTCTACGGGGACGTTTAATAAAAATGAAGTAAAACGGACATCCTTGATTAACACCACTTGAGGTTGACAGTTTCGATGACCGTTCATATAAGCTTTTACTTTATCAGTTGTGTTGGAGTAGAGAACTTAAACAAGGTTGATATACTTACTTGGTACGAAACTGTCACATCTCCTTTCGATTAACAGAGTCGAACCATGTCTTAACGTCAGACAATCCACCCATATTCGAGCATCCGTAAGTATGCCGGTGTTCTAAAACCTGAAGAAGACGAAATATTTGGTCTATGTATCTGTGTTCAGGCAGGATACCAGCCTGTTTTTCTGGTGTTCGCTGTTCACAAGCCTTAGCTGAGTGTTGGATGATTATCGAACCTAATATTTTACATATTGTATTAGTGAAACTGATTTTTATATGGTTGACACATGTGGATTCTTATCCTTAATGTTAAACTAGGAGAATCAGTGATTAAGGCCGGTCAATGGGATAAGGTCCTTCCCACACTTTAGTTAAGATCTCAGTCAATTCAACACTTAAGACTCGATGATCATCCTTAAGAATCCCATCTGTTAATGCATCATCCCCTCATCCCACTTTCGTCGTAGATTTGACATTACCTTTAAATTTATGTAGGTTTAAGGGGTTCATCTCGATCTTCTATTCTGGTTATTTTGAAATGGTGGCTAACTAAAAGGTAGTTGGAAGCCTGTAGAACTGTTGCTTAAATTGCTTTTCCGACTAATCATCCTAAATTCTATGATAAATTACATCTATTTCTAGCACTTGCTAGGTTTTTATTTATTTATTTATATAAACACAAACATTGGTATAATGAGGCATCAAATATATAGGTGCCACACGACCATTAGATATGTGTGAGAGATGAGATAATATTCAGGCACAAAAACTGATGCAAGTGGTTTTCTTAGGGGCCATACATCGAGCCTTTGACATAGAGGTCTGATCCACAAGGCAGTGAAGCAACGTTAGAAGAGGCAGTTCTATGTTCGTCCTGTTCTAATTTACAGCTGCGAAACGTGGCCAGTAAGAGTAGATACTCGTGAGTTACTAGTATCTGACACAGGGCATTAGGGAATGATGGTAAATCAGTTGATGAGGTTGTGCATCTTCATCAACTGAAATGGTTGGGTTACGTGTTACGTATGCCTGAACACCGATCACCACGGCGCGCAATGCAGATCAGTGTTGGTGGTGGTTGGAAGTAAGTTAGGGGCGACCAAACGGAAACGTCGCATCAGTCATTGAAGTCACAAACTTCTGGTCTGAACGATGTTGGTAGATGAAGTCTACTTGGTTGTAATCCGTGAGACTATCGTAACCAATGGTTGGAGACTGTTATATCTTGTGAATGTTTTCCAAAACCCCCGTTGCCAGTACTTATATCTTTTTAATCGAATGCTACTTTTTGTATCTGGTCGTCGCTGATTGTTATGTCGGAACCGCTGATCACTTATACTCGGAACGAAGAAGCATCCACAATTTTCATGACGCGAAAGTAAGAACACAAGACTGGTATAAGTGAGGATTCATTAGCCGCGAAATACTATGGTGACGACGACGACCTTAGTCAAAAATACACTCATTTATATATTTATTTATTTTATTTTAACACATAGGTATTGGTACAAGGAGGCACCAAATACATATGCGCCACACGAATCTCAGTTGGTTTGTGTGAGGGCTGTGATACTGCCCGGGTGCCCAGACCGAAGCAGGTGGTTTTCTTAGGGGGCCACACCCCGAGCCTTCGACCTGAATGTCTGATCCACATAGCAGTGGAGCATCGTAAGGAGATGTAGTCCCATGGTAGCCGGTGACCAACGATTGGTTCATATGCCATTTGTTCCCGTGTGCACCATTGTTTTGAGATCCGGTTAAAGCGCCGGAAATTCGATTTTTGTCTTCTCAGAGGCTATATACGCGTGGCCATGTGAGAGCATTTCGAGAGGGAGAGCGGACTCTCCCCACTCTCGGCCGTACCTTTGCATTTGGGGTCCATCTATATATTGATTGTACAGCAATTTCGATTAATAATAAAATGATATCACATATATGAAAAATACTCAGTTATCACAAATCACATATATAGCATAGTTCATGTCAATTGAATACAAGAATATCGTTTATTATACAGAATAAAATATCATACGGGAAAAGAAAACAATTACTATATTGAGTAATCATTACATTGAATCAAAAGAGAAGTAATGTTGAATAAAACTCATGAGTAAATCAATCGAATCTTGACTTTTCTTTTCATCATATCAGAGACTGAAGGTGGCATGTCTTACAATCGATCACACTGGCGTAATGTGTATACACTCTCTGTCTTCTGTCAAATTATGAGATTAAAATTGCTTCATATCTTTCCTTGTACGAAATAATTCTTTCTCCCTGCGTCATATCGTCATATGCTGCCCATTTTTTAAAGGTTACTACCATTTAACAACTGCTTCTATAAATTTAGTGTTCATTTTTTTTGTGCTGATAAGGTACATCATATTGGTTCAATACATATATGTGCTTGGTCCTGTGTTGTAGATGAATGACGGTTTCAATAAATAATAATAATCTGACTAATCATGAGAAATACATATACATGTTTATCTATGTATATACTATTGGTTTTTTAGTTAAACTTTTAATAGCATCCACTTCTTTACAGCGTATTAAAAATAAAAAAAACATGTTGATTAAATACACTTTGTGTATGCTACATATTCTACGCTGATAATAATGTCTGCATTTTCTTTTTAAAATTAGGAGTAATTTGTTTAACAAAATTACTTGTAATTAATGACTTCCATAATGATGACTGTCAATTTGTAATTAAATTTTAATTTATAGTTTGTTATGCTTTTAAAGAAAAATACATTACTAATTAATTTGTTTAGTCTTTTAGATGAACATTTAGCGATTAGACAAATATGCAATGTTTATCAGGAATTAGAATAATTGAACCAATTTTTTTATTTATAGGTAGATGTATTGGTCAAATTCTGAGATGGATAATTTTTAACTTCTTTTGATGCATCTGATTGAATCGAATGCTTATATGTTTATTAAACTGTTTTGTTTATAGTCAATTAATTAGGCTTTATGCGTAAATGGGACATCTGTGTAAACTCACTGGTTTAATTCACCGCGAGTGATAGCCACGTTAGAATATATAGTCCCTTGACAGCGGATGAGCAACAATAGGTTCATACGCCATCTGTTCCTTCAGGGATGTGGAGCCCATTTGTATAATTGGTTTGTAATCAGCGTTTCCAACTTCCCTAAATAGTTTCTCCGTACTCACCAACACGGTTAAAGCGCCGGTTATTCGCTTTTGTTCCTTTTAGTTTTGTGAACAACACCCTCGACGCGAGAATGCAGTGAGTAGAGCTTCCTTGAGTGTGGTTGTGTACGCGTGAACATAGAGAGTATTTCGGGTGGGAGAGTGAACTCTTCCCAACCTCGGTCATTCCGGGGCATTTGGATACTGCATATTGTATCGCAAGTAATAAGTACCGACATGTATAATATTCGAATGTAGCTGTAATTTCCTAGTAGAAAAATTATGTAGCAACATTTACTATAACGAATAGTGACTTACAAACATTATGACCCAGTTGCTGAATAAATTTACATAATAGATATATAGGTTTATTTTACCAAAAATAGTTCTCTGTTTAACCTTTTGCTTCTCTCCAACATAAATTTTTTGCCAATACCTACCATGATCTTAACTATAAGTTAAGAACAAACATGTATATTATATCAATCAATCCATGAGTCCATAGACATTTAAATTTATGTGTATTAGTATACAACACGCTGAACTGTGTAAATCATCAATTTGGTTTTTATTAAAACTTTTTCTGTTTATTTTCACCCCATAATTTTTCCTTTAGGATTCTTTGACCCCACTACATGTGGCTGCACATTGTGGTAATACAGAAGTGGCACGTGTACTCTTAGACAATGGATGTGATGTGAATGCACGTGCTTTGGTAGGCTTTTCATTTTATGTAACACTGATTTATTACAGTTCACTTTCACGCGTACTTTTTTCTAGAATGTAAATGCTAGATACGTTTAGTTTTCTTTTGTATATTTCCACTTTCTGTAAATTATGAACACTAATAAACACTTCGGATCTGTGACCTCATATAATGATCAAGAATTAAACCCGATATATGAATTCATCGCTGTGTGAGTAGTGAATTAGTTAGCTGACATCCTTCGATCGTTTATGATATTTGATGATCATGTTTATTCCTATGTGTAATTCTTTGTATATCAGGATACTATTCTTTTTGAATAAAAAAACTTACACTTCTGGTCAATGATCCTCAAATAAATTCTAGCTAATGGTAAAAATTTGAGACATGTTTCATTCTACTTTATTTGCGATATCCAAATGGTGATGTTTACATCGGCCCTTGAAATCATAGTACCTAAATATCGCTCAAAGCATCAATAAGTTAACCAGTAGTCTTATAAAAATTTCAAATAACTACTAATATTAATTGCAGAAAGTTTATTCACAAAATAACTGCTCAATAATCAAGCTCATTTTTACGTGAACTATTCTATTGTTTTCATTATTTTAAGGTTATTGATTTCATCAAATTAGTTATAGTTTAAGAAGATAAAACATTGAATTAGATTCTAGGTCCTGTGTTTGATTCTCACGTGCGGGGTCGTGGATGCACACTATTGAGGAATCCCATGCTAGGACGAAGCAGCCGTCCAATGCTTCTAGGTTTTCAATGGTAGTTTAGCTTAGATCGACTCATGAGTTCAACTGTGAAAATACTGCGATCTCCACAAATCCCCGTACTGATCGTATTTGTTTGTTTATCACTATGTACGGGTCTGATTTTCATATCATGTTAACAATCTTTATATGTATACTTACTTTTTACTTCTACTAAATTGATTTTATTTATTCATATATATATATATATATATATATATATATATATATATATATATATATATATATATATTTATTTATTTATTTATTTCGTATTGACAGAATGGTTTTACTCCATTGCATATCGCTTGTAAGAAACAAAAAATTCGAGTTATTGAACTACTTCTTCAGTATGGTGCACAAATCAATATGACTACTGAAGTAAGTTCTGTTCCATTATCATCATATATTAGAATAATATAAGTTATTCCATTAAATACGATGATAATGATTGGATATTTAAAATATTGTACAAAAATACAATGAAAATATGTGCATGATGGGATGCTAAATAATCAAGATGAAAAATATGAATGCATTTGAGCTAATGTTATTTTAAACCACGTCAATCAACGTATCCGACCATGTATCATGTTTATTGCATTGGTCCAACAGCCTATCACTGAATGAATTGATCTCATGTTTTTATTTGGCCACACCTGCCAATCATTTATCATCGTAGATCCTAACGAGGATGCATACTCTATACTTAGTGTAATAATAGTATTAAGTAGAAATAGGAAATTAGCAATCAGTGAGCTTCAATAAATGCATTTCAAATATAAATACACTAAACATCGTTTATATTCAGTTTATAGATTCATTTTAATCTGTACACTTCATGACATTTTAAACTGCATGGTTCAGTAACACATCAGTAAGTCAGTGAATCAAAATATAATGGTTTACATTTACTGACTTTATACAGTTCTCAATATAGTACACATTTCTTCACCTAATATTATCTACTAGATTGCCCAACAGAACTCAATGATTTCTGTGTCTACTTCAATTTTGTTTGAAAAGTGAATAATTTCAACTGCTCTTGTGTGATTGTTTACCTTACATTTCATAGTCGTCAAGTAATAACTTGAAACGTTAGTGTTTAACCAGACATCATCTCAGTAATGGCTCTTCACGGAACTCAATAAATACTATGAATGTTGATTATACCATGTGGTAATATGTGTAATGTGTATCAATCATTATTTTTTACTCTAGTGATTTTTGTATTGAATTTGAGGAAATACAGTTGTGAATGGGACAGAAATTAGTAACAAATCGAATATGATTTAAAATTTTACACTTAAAAATATTTATCCGTTGACTGTATACTATTTTTTTTTAAATAATTCATTTCATTTATGTGTCCACAGGCAATAAAAGCTTCACTTCTTTACATTCAAACTCATCTATCATGGTTAATTAGGAGATTGAAGACCCTTAGCAGGCAGTCCTGAACATAAACTGTTATTCACTTTAATATGCATAACCGAGGTAGCCGTTCTGTACTGCAGTTTGTACTCTTATTCTGTACGGCTGTGAAACTTCATGGCCATTTTATAACAGGGGATTTATAGGTTACTAGGTTTTGGTTATAGATTGATGGTATAATATCATTACTTGAAGTTATTAACTGTTGGATCGCTCTGTGTTGATAAGTAGGTCATATGCTGAGGATCGGTCACAATGTTACAAATGCATTCACTTTTTGTATTCCATCAAATCTTGACTTTAGAAACTACTTACAAGTTCATTCATCTTGAATCTTATTATCCTATATCTAATGTATTCTACTACTATTGCTGCTGCTTCTACATCTAATACACTGGAATTTGCCCTGATATTTTCGTCTCGTCTTACCTATATATTATTTTGTGGCAACTTAATTCGATACATGTATATACTAGGTTCCATGTTACTTGTGACTGACTCTAAACAACTCTGCCTATAAGTAGCTTATAATTAATTCCTTTGCTGATTAATCTAGTTAGATGTTGCTTTAAAGGTCATGATAAATTATGAATCTGTTGATTTGTTTATAACACTAACTCGGTTGATTTTTTTTAAAAGTAACTTGTTTTTTTAATTGCTTTACAATGATTTAACATAGTCTGGCCTATCTCCATTACATGTGGCAGCATTTATTGGTGGTCCAGAAATTGTTCAGTTATTAATACAACATGGTGCACATGTGAATCAAGCTACAATGCGTTGTGAAACAGCATTACATTTAGCTGTACGTAATCGACAAGTTAGTGTTGCTGAAACACTTATCTATCATGGTGCATCGGTTAATGCTAAAGCTAGAGTAAGTCACATCAACACATTTTTATTTGAGTTTTGGTTATTAAAAACTTGTGTTACATTATCTTTATTCTGATATTTCTAGTTATTTTGTTTTTGATGCTAGTTGTTCGGCGATAGTTAACAAAAAGGTCTGAACCTAGGTTTTGTGCTTTTTGGAACGCTTGAACAAGATATGTCTATAATGTTGAAGGGACTGCTTTACCCTCGTGGATTCGAACCCAGGTTACACAACTTCATAATCTGAAACGTTAGCATTCAGTTACGACTGACTTCTCATAGATCTGTGATATTTAGAATTGATTAATAACTGGTGATCAATATCATTTTACCTGGTCTTTTAGTGTTAGTCGGATCCCGTTGACCAAGTCGTTATGTAGCTGCTAGTCTAAATAACTCGACATGACATGCACTATTTTGGGATGTTTGTTGGTTTGAGGTAGTCGAAAGAATCCCTGGATGTGATCCGATTAATGTCTTTATCTGCAATTTCGATATGTAGCGAAGTAAAGTTTTTCAAAGTCCGCATTTTTACTGCTTCTATATCGTAAAGTAATGCCTTAGCAATAAATATTTTCTATAACCTCTTTGGTTGTTCCTTCAGAAACATTATAATTTATCATTGTTAATAAAAGTTTATACGTTTAATCATTTAAGTAATTCATGGATGGATGTTTTTTCTTATTCATTTAAGCGTGTGTTTTGCGTGTATCTCTTGTTTATGATGAGGTTGTCAACGCAACACTCTTTGTTTTTCCCTTTTAGTCAAGATACGTGAAGAACTCATCAATGTTATACTTAATTTTCATTTGTTTCCTAAAAATAAACTCATGATATTAACTATCAATGCCAAGATTAAATATGATACTTTAAAATAAATTGAACAATGTCAGAAAGTTGATAATAAATATATTTTTTGTTATATCCCAATGAGTAAAAAATTGTATTTCTGACGTTTCGTGACCTAATGTAAGCCAGTTCGTCAGAGTAAATAAACAAGAGGATTTAATTAACACAATTTTAAATAGTCCTTTCCTCTCATTTTTTCATTTTTACGCATGTTCTTCCATCTTCCTCAGAAAACACTTATGTTAGGTTTGCGGTTGGCCTCACCGTATACACATAGATTTCTACCGCTTTACTTCACCCTTTTAAAATGAATGAGTTCTTAAATTTCATTGAATGAGTCTATGTTAATGATAGACATTTAAAATCTGTAGTGGCTGTGCTTCGTTAACCAATCACCCTCGTAACCGTCATCATATAATCCTCAACGATGTTTGAAATCAGAAGGCAAAAAGAAGCAGCGACTACAGTTTTATTAGTAGATAACTCAAACCACAAAGCAGAGAGGTGAATGAGTGAGTCAGCGAACCGTGAGTGTAGTGTTAAATGTATATATATATATATATATATATATATATATATATATATATATAAATAGGGAAATGAATGGATCATCGAATCAATTCAGCAGCTAATGATAAAGCTAGCAGAATGAATATATGCGTAGGCGGTAAACAATGTTCAAGCCTACTATTTCATACAAGCACAACAGTAATAAATGTACAATAAGTTGTTATAGTACGGATGACTTTGTCCACTAAATAAGTTAAGAAAAGGGCTTAACCGAATTAAATGAGAACAAACTCAATTGCACGTGAGTTGCTATAGTTCTTGCAAATTTCTAGCAGGTGTTATCATATCAAATACTAATGTTCGACTTCATTCATATCTTTCTTGTTCTATATCTTCTTGTTGAAAGAGTCGTCACTACCTTAGAATCCATTCACACAAGCAAACGTTTAAAAGTTCTACCATGCCTTATCTAGCGTATATATTATGTGACGAACAAGTTGTAAGAGTTGACCTAATTAATATCTTGTCTTCTTATATATGTCGCTAATTGAAAATTGTATAGATTCAAATCTTCCTAAAAAAACCTTTCATTTAATCCCAAGTAGTTTATTAACTTAATTGATGTGTATATGTGTACAGTTTTTTTTTCATTCCACAAAAGAAACTTGTTGAAATATTCTTTTCTGAGAATTCTATCTTGTACTAAGTGTATAATATTGAAGTATGGCAATAATAATCCTTTTAATCTTTGTCTTATTAGATTAACTGCCCTAATTTTTTAATTTCTTTTGTTCATGTTGTAGTATTAAATTAATTACAAATTATGTTATAACCCTCTGTTTCGTTTATTCCAATTATGTATATCTAGACACTGTGTGTCGGCAAATTGATTGTTGTTAGTGGTTTTATTTTTTAGGTAAATACTATATATATACAATGCAATAGGTTTTCTGACTAGTAATATTATTTAGCAACGACGAAGTTAAAGATCAATTCTATGAGAGGCTGCAATCAATCATAGAGAAGTGTTCAAGAAAAGACCTCACCATTCTGATGGGAGATCTAAACGCCAAAGTCGGAATGGACAACACCAGATATGAAGATATCATGGGACTGCATGGACTGGGAGAGAGGAATGAAAACGGGGAAATATTTGTAAATTTGTGTGCATTCAACAAATTGGTCATAGGCGGCACAATATTTCCACACAAACGTATACACAAAGCTACATGGATCTCACCGGACCACACCACAGAGAACCAGATAGATCATATTTGCATCAATAAAAAGTTCCGAAGGACAATGGAAGATGTAAAAACCAGGAGAGGAGCGGATATAGCTTCAGATCACCACCTGGTTGTGGCCAAATTGAAACTGAAGCTAAAGAAGAACTGGACAACTGGACAAACAGCACCACAAAGGTTCAATACAGCTTTCCTTCGAGATACTGACAAGCTCAATGAATTCAAGGTAGCTCTCAACAACAGGTTCCAAGCCTTACAGGACCTACTGAAGGAAGAAGAAACTACCATGGAGGATAGCTGGAAAGGTATCAAAGAAACATTAACTTCAACGTGTGAAGAGGTTCTGGGCCCCAAGAAGCATTATCACAAGGAATGGATCTCTATAGAAACACTGGACAGGATCAAAGAAAGGAAGAAGAAGACAGCAATTAACAACAGCCGAACACGAGCAGCGAAAGTCCAAACACAAGCTGAGTACATAAAAGCAAACAAGCAAGTGGAGAAGAGCATTAGAGCTGATAGGCAAAAATACGTGGAAGAACTAGCAACGACGGCGGAAAAAGCTGCAAGAGAAGGAAATATGAGACAGCTTTACGATACGACGAATAAACTAGCAGGAAAATATAGTAAACCAGAGAGACCGGTCAAAGACAAAGAAGGCAGGCCAATCACTGAAATTCAACAACAGCGGAATAGATGGGCAAAGTAATTCGAGGAACTCCTGAATAGGTCGGCTCCAATGACTCCACCGGGCATCGAAGCAGCACACACAGATCTTCCTATAAATGTCAATCCACCAACGACGAAAGAAATCAGAATGGCCATCAGACAAATCAAGAGCGGGAAAGCAGCAGGACTCGACAATATACCGGATGAAGCACTGAAGTCAGACATCGAAGTAACTACAAACATTCTTCATCTTCTATTCAAGAAGATTTGGGAGGAGGAACAAGTGCCGATGGATTGGAAAGAAGGACACCTCATCAAGATTCCAAAGAAAGGAGATCTGAGCAAGTGTGAAAACTACAGAGGCATTACACTACTGTCAATACCGGGTAAAGTCTTCAACAGAGTGTTACTGAACAGGATGAAAGACGCAGTTGACGCTCAACTTCGAGATCAACAAGCTGGATTCCGTAAGGACCGGTCGTGCACAGACCAGATTGCGACACTACGGATCATCGTCGAACAATCAATTGAGTGGAACTCGTCACTCTACATCAACTTCATTGATTATGAGAAGGCATTTGACAGTGTAGATAGGAGGACGTTATGGAAACTTCTTCGACACTACGGAGTTCCTGAGAAGATTGTCAACATTATCCGGAACTCATACGATGGACTACAGTGCAAAGTAGTGCATGGAGGACAGCTGACAGATTCATTCCAAGTAAGGACCGGAGTAAGACAAGGCTGTCTACTCTCTCCCTTCCTGTTTCTTCTGGTGTTCGACTGGATTATGAAGACCTCGACATCTGAGGAAAACTACGGCATACGATGGACAGCTCAGAACCAATTAGACGACTTGGACTTCGCAGATGACCTAGCCCTCCTATCACATACACACGAACAAATGCAGATAAAGACAGCCAGCATAGCAGCAGTCTCTGCATCAGTAGGCCTCAACATACACAAAGAGAAAACCAAGGTCCTCAAACACAACACGGAGAACAGCAATCGAATCACTCTTGATGGCGAAACTCTGGAAGATGTAGAATCCTTCACATACCTGGGAAGCATCGTCGATAAACAAGGAGGTTCAGATGCAGACGTCAAGGCGAGGATTGGCAAAGCTAGAGCGGCATTCCTTCAACTGAAGAACATATGGAACTCAAAACAACTTTCAACCAATATCAAAGTCAGAATCTACAATACCAACGTCAAGGCAGTTCTAATGTACGGAGCTGAAACTTGGAGAACTACAACAACCACCATCAAGAAGGTACAGGTATTTATCAATAGCTGTCTACGCATGATACTCAACATCCATTGGCCGGATACCATCAGCAACAGCCTTTTGTGGGAGAGAACCAACCAGCTTCCAGCTGAAGAGGAAATTAGGAAAACACGATGGAAATGGATAGGACATACATTGAGGAAATCATCAAACTGCATTACGAGACAAGCGCTAACTTGGAATCCTGAAGGGAAGCGGAAAAGAGGAAGGCCAAAGAACACATTACGTCGGGAAATAGAAGCAGATATGAAAAGGATGAATAAGAACTGGAAAGAGCTTGAAAGGATTGCCCAGGACAGGGTTGGATGGAGAATGCTGTTGAGCGGCCTATGCTCCTTCACGAGGAGTAACAGGCGTAAGTAAGTAAGTAAGTAAGTAAGTAAGTAAGTAAGTAAGTAAGTAAGTAAGTAAGTAAGTAAGTAAGTAAGTAAGTAAGTAAGTAAG